GAGAGAGAGAGAGAGAGAGAGAGAGAGAGAGAGAGAGAGAGAGAGAGAGAGAGAAAGAGAGAGAGAGACTCACCTGACTTACCTAGTGGCACTGATGGCAATGATACAATGCCTTCTGGAGACGGACAGTTCTGAGAACCACGCTCCATAGCTCTGGTCTTATTCGATCGGAGGTTGAACGGGCTTTCTTGAGAGAGACAACTGCAGATAGACTTCATCGATAACGTCAGTAGAGGGTTAGGTGCTGAGGTGGTGAGTACTGAGTGGGAGAGTCCTGGAGCTTGAAGGGGGAATGGAAGAGCCTCACCATTGTATTTTTTTATTGATTATTTTTTAAGCTTTTCCTTTTGTCCTCTACTAGAGATTGAAGGGGGGAATGGAGGATCCCATCTGTTGTCATGCCTTTCGGTCTCACTAACGGCCCAGCAACTTTCCAGAGGTCTATGAATGAGCTGTTCAGAGAATGATTGGACAAATTTGTAGTGGTCTACCTCAATGACATACGTGGTCTTCAACAAAACGCTGGAACAACAATAGGCACACTTCCAAATAGTCCTTGAACGAGTTCAGAATCAATCGACCAAATACGAATTCGCAGAGTTTGAAGTCTTGTACTTTGGACATGTTGTGAATGAAAAAGAGTTACGACCAAAGACTCCTACCAAGTTCAGATCCTTTTAGGATTAGGAAGTTATTATATAGGACGTTTGTAAGGAACTTCTCTATACTAACAGCTCCTTTGAGAAGACTTCTCAGGAAAGAGACTGTTTGGTTGTGGGATACAGGCCGTGGGTCTGTGTTAAAAAGTTTGACGCATGCATTGACCGACTGCCCTGTATTGAAAATTGTAGGCCAATCCTTGTGGTTAATTGTCGCAACTGGTAAAATTCGATATGAGATTGGGGCAGTCTTGCAACAAAATGATGGGAATGGATATAGACCAGTATAAATTTATGTATAGAAGACTCTCCCATATGAGAAAGTGGACGAATTGCCCTATGAGAGAAAACTCCATGCATTTCATTGTCAGAAGCTCCACTGACCTGAAAGCACTGCCTGTTGGGTAGATAATTCAAGGTTTACTCAAATCCTGAGACCTTGAAAACACGACCCAGATTGTCTGACAAGTCTTCGACCATAGACACCTATGATTTTCAGTTGAAGCCTTGAAGGTTATCAATGGTCAGCTATCCACTTGCCCACTTGCCTATGTAGTGGATGCACTCTCCTATAGACTTAAGAATCCTTTCGAGCAATGGTAAGCTATCTGAACAATGGAAATTAACCGAACAAGTGGACCCGCTGTAGCGATGGGAAAGGGGGGGGGGGGGGGGAAGAGGGCAAGGAGACGATGGTGGAGGAGGGGGAGAGGACTGTGTGTGTGTTTGTGTGTGTGTGTGTGTGTGTGTGAGAGAGAGAGAGAGAGTCCCCGTCCACTCCTCCCCCACCCCACCCCTCTCCTCCATTCCCTTCCGCTTTCCATACCCGCCTCCCGCGCGTT